GCAGAGGGGGATTTGAGTGGAACAAGAGAGAGACTGCCTGTCAGCACGAATTTAACCATGTCAACGCTGTACAGTAACAAGACAGAAGGACAATTACATTACAAAGCAAAAACACAACATTTCATTTAAACCCCCACCCTCTACCAGGGTAATGGCTAACACAAAATACAAAAAACCCCACAGCGTTTTAAGATTGGGGTGGGATGGTGACCATGGTCAGCTACATTTCGGTCATTACTGACAGGATGATGGAAGTGGTCACCTCCTGGAACCCCCGACAGGGCACTGGCTGGGATAACTTCCCAGTAACACAATTATTATAATATACATACAGTTCTTAACCCTTTATGATTTATCTCTTCCTCTACCCAACCCTCCTGCTGGATAGCCTTTCTACTCTGTACCATGCTTCAGCAGTACGCAATAAATCATTATCTGTAAGCTTGCCTTTCTTCTCTGTCAGTAATCTACGCCTGCTTTCTGGCTGTAATCTACCACATGAAGGCACAGCAATTTTACACACTTTAGCAATCTTTGCAACATTTTTAACCAGTTCTTCACCTTCTCTATCTTCAACTAAATCACACGCGAGCCAGCCCCTAGCGGGCTTACTCGTTTCCTGTCCCATATCCCCCTATACAAAGCGTCCCAAGTATAGGTAAAGGAAAATGAAACAGAACGTCTACAATGCTCGACTGCCACTAGGAAGGGTGGGTCCCTCCCAGTGCGTCTTCCCAAAACGTAGACCAGTCACTGAATCCGTGTACCCTCGATGGTAACCACGGATTGGAGCGGGGTGAGAAGTGTGTGACCAATCACTTCTCTTTCAAGAGAAATAGGAGTGGATAGTGTAAATAGTACAGGAAGTAGAGGAAAAGTAAACAGTGAAAGTAGAGACAGACCCAGGAGTTTGAATGACTCCACACTTAAGACAACATTTAATACAACATTTCAATTGAAATACAGTGCATGCATCAACAGTAATCCCTTTCCTTTACTCTTGTGGCCACCAAGGCCACCTCCCTCAATCTCGTAGTGTCCCCGCTCGGAGAACAACTTTCGTAAGTTTCACTACCAGCGGCCAAGGATAACGACTAACACCGGCCCGAAATCCATATGCCTCCCTCGTTACAGCAGTCCACTAAGTGTGGCCACCTCTATCCTCACTCCCGTAGTGCTCCCTATGGACCCACCCACAAGTCACACTACCCCGTGGTGATGGAGACAACAATGCCTGCCCGAATCCACACACCACAAATAAATTGGAATGCCAGCAGCCTCAGCGCTCGAAGCTGGAGGGTACCATAACCTCTGCAAGCAGAGCAACGTACACAATGAGGCTAGCTAGAATATCAAAGTGACGTAACCTCCACAGAATCCCCCAACCCTTCTTTTTCCTTACTACTGTTAGCTAGACAGTACCTAAAAGAAGTAAACAGGAAAACAGGACCCCTTTGGAAAATCCCCACAGGTCCTCCCCCCCTTTTTTCCCAACAGTCTGGGCCAAGTGACTCCTAAAAAGGGGTAAAAACAGGCAACAGAAGACCCCCAGGCAACCACCCACGGGTCCACCCCCCTTTATCTCTAAAGAGGGAAAGACACAAAACATATACCACTAGCACACCCAGGCAACAGATAGACTAAATGCAGGTAAACAAATGGGTAACAAGACACCGGGCAAGATATTACCTGTCTTTGATGCCCTCCCGGGAAGCAGTCACAGACACGTGGACGGGTCAATCAAAGGGGCTGGAACATACCGGTGGCTCCTGCAGAAGTCTCTACCGTGTACTCAGAGGTGATCAGTCTCTCTTCCTTCCCCCCTGATTCCTCCGTCCAACAGCGTCTTCCTTAGGACGGCTTACCGGCCGGAGGCCATAGCCCGATGCCCCACGTTGGATGGACGCCAAATTGATGTAGATTAATTTAGAAATAAACAAAAATGTTTAAAAGTCTATCTGTTCCTGTCCAAATCTGAGATGAATAAATTGCGTATACGCAGAAGTAAGTTCACACTGATACATGCAGTTCAGGTTAAAAACACTTCAGGAAATTTATTAGCATCTAGTTAAAAAGTGGGCACGCAGGCCTTTTTATATGCAAAATGACATCATCATTGAATATCAGATAATAACAAATAAACATCATTAATTGGGTTAAATGTTAAGTGGCTATGTCAGTGTCCACCCATTAATATTATTAATTGGTTCAGAGATTTGAGTGACTAGTGAGGCACCCTCCCATCATGGGATGTCGTCGCCATTGCTCTTTAGCACGAGGCTTACTCGGTGGAAAGGGGGGCTTGGGCGTCATTTTACGTGGTTAGTGATGTCAGTCTCGTGGTCTGTTCCAAGGTTCTTTTATGAATAGAACATTTCATTTTGTCACTGTTCTCCTGGCCTTGGATTATACTATGTTGCAAGTCAATGGAGATCCGCTAACTCCGGGGCTAGTTATGTCCTTAGAGAGAGAGAATACAATCTCTTATTCATTATACTGAATACTGTCAGGAAATTCTGTCATGTAAGGTGAACAAAATGGAGTTAGTACAATAATTCAATACAGGTTCTAATAAAGATTTTAATAATTCTACATCATATATATATATATATATATATATATATATTGCTTTTTCTAATATAAAATATTGGTCCTTTCAGGGTAAAACGTTTAATTATACAGTAAGCATACGCACATGCAGACACAGGCAATTTCACTGACATTTCAGTGACACACACAAACTCATTGATACACAGCCTCATAGACAAACAATCTTACTGATATACATCAGCTCATTGACATAAAAACACAAGCTCACTCACTAGCAGGCACACGCATGCAAGCAAGTTCACTCACTAGCAGACGCACACACACAGCTTAATGTGGTGGTACTGGTGTCTATAGCATGTCCCTACAGGCTTTTCAACGTAAACACTGACTTTTCAGACAAAAGGCAGTGTTTACATTGCTTCAAAGTGGCACTGCTAGTGACAGTCACTCAGACGGTCACTAGAGGTGCTTCCTGTGTTAGTGCACCTACATTCAGGGCCTCCACACTCTGTAGGTGCTGAACGTTCCCCATAGAGACACATTGATTCAATGCATCTCTATGAGGAGATGCTGATTGGAGTGGCGTTTTGCAGCCAATCCTATGGCAAAGCATTGGATTGGCTGAGATCATCAAGCTTGATGATCTCAGCTATAGAGGCAGGGCCAGTCGAGGGGAGACCAGCACGCTGCGTGGGGAAAAAAAAAGGTGAGCAAAAGCACTATTTTTAAACACACATTTACACCATGACAGACACAGAAACACACATATACCATGACAGATACACACCCCGTGACAGACACACACACACACCATGACAGACCATGACACAGACAGACACACACCATGACGGACAGATAGACACACACACACCATGACGGACAGACACACACACACACCATGAATGACAGACAGACACACAAACACACACACACCCATGACGGACAGACACACACACACACCATGACGGACAGACAGACACACACACCCCATGACGGACAGACAGACACACACCCCATGACGGACAGACAGACACACACCCATGATGGACAGACAGACAGACACACACAACCCCACGACGGACAGACACACACACACACACAGACACACACAACCCCCATGACGGACAGACAGACACACACAACCCCCATGACGGACAGACAGACACACACAACCCCCATGACGGACGGACAGACAGACACACACAACCCCCATGACGGACGGACAGACAGACAGACACACACACACACCCCATGACGGACAGACACACACACCCCATGACGGACAGACAGACACACACACACCCCATGACAGACAGACAGACACACACACACACCCCATGACAGACAGACACACACATACACCCCATGACAGACAGACACACACACACACACACACACCCCATGACGGACAGACAGACACCATAAAGACAGACACTATGACACAGACTGACACACACACACACACACCATACATACAGACACCATGACATGGACAGACAGACAGACACACACACCATACAGACAGACAGACACCATAACACAGACAGACAGACACATTACTAATACCTGCCACCAGGGGGAGGTCTTGTGGCGGCCGCTGGGGGACTTGTCCTGGCGGCCGCTGGGGGAGCTGCGCTGGCTGTGCTCTCCTGCCCTCGCGCGCTGCTGAATGAGACCGGGGCCGGAATATGACGTCATATTCCGGCGCCGGTCTCATTCAGCTGCGCGCTGGGGAGCAGAGCCAGCGCAGCTCCCCCAGCGGCCGCCAGAAGACCTCCCCAGCGGCAGCCAGCAGACCCAGGTGTCTGCCCGGCCCCAGGTGCCGACGGCCCACCGGGAAATTTCCCGGTATCCCGGTGGGCCAGTCCGGCCCTGCCCCAGGCCCACACATAGTATAATTGATTTCATGAGTGGAAGTCTCAGTATGTCTCATGTATGTCCTTGTGCTGCCCTGAGATTAGGGGCCTCACACTGCACTGTCTCAGTTCATGTATTGTAGTTTTTAATCCATTATGTGGCATCAGCCATTGTGCAGTTCAGTATTTGAAAACAGCCATTATATTAATGGGTTGATCATGTAATATATAAAGTACATTGTAGATACAAATGATTCCCCCGGCCTGGGGATGCAAACAAGATGTGCTGTGATTGAGCAGGTGTTTCAGTGTACTGCCTTCTTCATGTTGGTACCCAGATCTGGTTTACTGTAGATGGGTAGCCATCTGGAATGATCCTGTCTCACGCCAGTTAAATTCAGTAAAACCCTAAGGAAGATATTCATCAAAGTGTCGCTGAATAATCTGCACCTTTTCAGTAATATTTTTATGCCTTGAATTGGCAATGCTTTTTTTTCCCAATATTTTTATTATTTTTATTTATTTATTTTATTATTTTTGCTGTGCAAAGGTGTGCAAGCAATCATGTCATGCCACAACAGCAGTTGACTCGGACGTCATAATACATAGCTTACATGTGAGGAGGCGTTTAGAGAGAACATGCACAATTTTTTTGGATTATAATGACAGGTGTAGAACCATGCAAAGAAAACATATCTATGACTAGTGGTAGAGGCTTGTGAACGAATAAAAGACTTCAAAACAGTAGGTTGTAAGCAAAATAGATTGTGATGATTAGCGTTTAGCACTTAGCATGGGCTTGTTTGGCAAGATACATTTATAACCTCAGTTATATAACGTGGCTACTCTGTACTATTCCACCTAATAAGGATAAGAAAAGAAAAATGGTGGTGACACCAGCAAATTAAATTAGAAACACAGTGCTCGTTAGGGTGTTAGTGACCAGTGTCTCTGAGTGAATGCTGCTGAGCTTCAGCCAATACCTGTAAGTGGCATAATTGCTGCACGGCCAGAGATGACTTCGCTCCAGAGCCGGGTGCCTCTCCAGCCCCAGGTCTGGGTGAGAGCCGGCATCTGTGTACCACCGACTCGGGTGCTTCTAGAGTCCAAGCCTGTTCCTTTCTTAGGGTGATC